ATGTCCGAAACCCTGTTGAACATTGCAATGGGGATGATTCTTTCGAAGCCTCCATCTACCAAGGATCTCACTACACTCTCTAATCAAGACCCTCAAAGAGGTTTCCCTTCGCACCCCGGCCCACCCCCTTCGCTGTTCGCCATTCCTCTCCCTTCCTCGGTCCTTCCTCGGCCCTTCGTCGCGCGGTGAGGTTCCAGTCCTTCATGTCTACCAGAGCCTTCACTTACACTGAGTTCCTGGCGGCGACCATCGACCAGGAGGCCGGCCCAAAACGAGTGAGAAGGAGCATAATCAAGTCTAATGACTCACATGCTTCATAGATCCACGTAGCTGTTTGTGGTTAGGGAATCTTAGGGGATCCCCTTTTATTGGACGTGTTTTTGGTTTTGATGGAAGGCATGATAGATACCCTATTCCAATATCCTTCAACTTGAAGGTTGTTATTCCGGAGCGCTTCCTCCAACAGTAATATCCACATACGATTGACTGAAAAGAAACATGCATGGTATTTGTCTAAAATGATTAATGAATCAAGCTATGCTGGCATGTTCGAAACATATTTTTACTACATATTACATTGAATGTTTGCTATGGTATTTGTTTTTAGTGTTCGTTTTCAACTATTTGATGGCGGTTAGCAACGCACGAGTTAGAACCATGTCACATTGTTTGTTTCTGTCCAGAAAATGTCCCAAACGTCACTTTCCTGCGGGTAAATCATTCAGAACTTTGTAGAATCGTAGAATCCCTCTCAGCACAATCTGATGAAATTTTGATGTTGGCCAGTGTGAGTGATGCTATGTGATTAGCATAGCATTCATAGGATTACAAAGAATTGTAGCCTTCTTCGCACGACATGACAATACTTCGGACGACCTGGAGTTTATTTCCTAACCACACTGATATATCCCGTTGGGTGGATGCCTTCAAAGTGTGCCCTTTTCTGATCATTCGGGTGTGCTGCCCTTTTTGGCCTTTTGCGTTCCATTCTTGCCGTGTCCTTTCCTTGCCTCTTTTTTGTACTTTCCTTTCTTGCCTTTATTTCCATGTCTTGTCCTTTTCATTGTCTTTGTTCTGTTTCCTTTCCTGTATTCTTGCTTTGTCCGTCCTGCTGTCTATAAATATAATTTGTGTGGATAGGGTTGGACCTTTGTTTCGGCATGTTTCAGCTCACTGCATCCATACATGTGGGTTCCCTTCCGGATCGCTCCAGACTGGCATGGATTCGATTCTTACTGTAAATAAACACACAACCACAAAGTAAAATATTAGTTGAATTTAGTCATCATCCCAAAATATGTGATCACGATCGCTTTTATGATGTCCTTCTTCGTTCAACAAATAGCATTATTTATTGCACAAAATTAACCCGCAGAGGGTACCCTCACTCATGAAGGCTTCATACCAAGAACAACCCCTGACCCTGAATAAGCTAAGGTGTTCTTTCCTGGTTTTTTGGGCATCCCTGTGCAGCCTTTCCTTTCTCCATCTAATATAATGTATTTCTTGAAAACCAGCGCAGCCAAATCCAAACAGATCTTGGCAAACTTCTCTTATCAAGACCTTGTGACATCAAATTAAACATTACCCCAAAACAACTCACAAAGAACATCCCCATGAAGGCGCTGTGCACAATATAAGAATCAGCAATATAAGAAGGCGCTGCGCCTTTCCAAAATGGAGAACCCTTCTATTCCCTTTCATTTTCCACCTCACTATTCCCACAATTTCACAGCTAAACATCTTGGGCCAGCTCCCGCAAACAAAAGACAACTCTTGGAATTGCTCTTGGGGAGGCTAATGTTTTTTGAGTGCATGTCATTGGCGGGCGGGGAGGAACTACTTATGAGATGGACCTTCTCCAGCTAATTGTTACTGCTATCCTATTGTGCCCAGGCAGTTCCCGCAGGAAAATCCATGGATCAAGCCCAGATCACACCGTCACGCGACCACGCGACACCGAGAGCCAGGTGTACACGACACCAAAGCTCCTCCGTGCAGCCTTCGATTGCTTCGATAGAGATCAGGACAGTCCGAACCGGTGAACGATCGACCGGATCGACCGGATCGACGGTGGTGAAGCGAACACTTATATAAGACCCTTGGTTGGGTGCATGCAGCTTCACGGAATCCGGGTGATGTGTGCTGACTCACACCAGTCAGTGCAGTTCATCCTTGCCCTTTGGGGAAGCTTGAGACCATAGCCGCCATAGCCACTGGCTGAGGAGTCTTATGTCAAGTGTCCAACACCTTGTGTGGGATCGTAGCAGAACAAGAGGAGTTTGACCCGGTTCTCATGTAGAATCATCTGTAGTTCTCCATACGATCCTTTGGGAGGTGATTAATGCCTCAGCAGTTTAGCCTGGACTTGAACATCCATCACGGAACCGGAATTCCTGGCCGATCGAAGTGTTCGTTTATCTCGAAAAAAAATGGCTCAAAAACCTACCATGTCAGTTCCGACAAGTGAACATTGGACGCATGTAGTTCACCCATTGGGCGCTTCAACACCAATCCCTTTGGGATTGGTGTCCAGAGGTGCCACCCCACCCATCTTCAGAAACCACACCAGCCACACCGAAGCAACGGCGCAGTGTGTGCACACCGGCACACCGGAACGCCGGAGGATGGCTCGATCTCCTTGATGGAGCTTTCCAGTGGGCATTTGTTGGGCACGTTGTCGATGGAGGAGCTTCATGAGATCATGACCTGGTGCGATGAAGATGCTCGGAGGGGAGGGCGGTGGAGAGGTCTGCTGGTAGCTGCGTTTCATCCGTTTTGAGATATAGTTCTTTGATGTTCTTTTGAGGGAGCTGAATGAGCGACACTTACACTTTGACACTGCTGCTGGTGCTGCCGGTGGCAGTAAGAGGGGTACAACAAACCATCTGATCAACTCTGGCAAGTTGCGCCGATAATCTTCAACTTGGGTATTTGAAATGGCTCAGCTTGGCTCAGCGAAGCTCAGCGATCGTTTGTTCACTCGGGTGATCTTACGACGTGTTCCTTCAGTTTGACCTTTGCGCGTGGGGGCTACCGCCCTACCCCAAGCGCTTCTGGCAAGACTCCAGACGCAAGCGCTTCGTGCAGGGAGGGTCTTCACTTCAGCTCTCCGCTTGGGTAGCTAGAGGGACTTCACCAGCTAGCCGCTAGCCCACCCTCACTACATCAGAAGTATTCAGAAGTCACACTAATTATGACATGTTTAGAACTTATATGATCTTATGGGTTCTTGGACACTGTTTTCTTTGGTTTGTGCCGGATATTCTTAGTGTTTTCAAGCCACAACAACACAAAACAACCCATTAACAACCCGATTTTCTTCACTGGTGCAAAAAAACCTAAGACGATCTTGCAAGGGGTGTGGTCGTCTCTGATCAGTAAAGAGGCTCAGGTCAGGACCTGGACATTTGCTTTGCCGATTAGCTCACCAAAGGGTTTGACTCTTGCTTCTCCCTCAGCAAGCTTAGCATGCTCACACCCACGCAGCTTGGGGATGTGAAGATCAGATGCACGGCCTCCCATTTGGGCCAGGCGAAAACAAGTGTAGCCATGATACACCCGGGAAAATTAACATGGAACCTGAAAATGAACCTTTGGAAGACGATTTCCCTCTACAACCCAGTGGTTTTCAGGTTCCACGATAAATTCCAGTGTGCACATGTTGTGATACAGTATTTGCTTTGAATCTTTGTTGGGTGGTCACTAGGTAACACACGCACACACATTACATTCTTCAGCCCTGGTCCATTGAACAATTCAATTCAGCAATTGATTCAACTCGTCCGCAAGGATGGCGATATGCAAATTGATTTTCGGGAGTTCGAGGCGATGTTTCAGTCCTGAGATGCAATTCGACGAGTGGCCTCAGTGAGTCATCGGATTCCCCTCAGTCTCACCGATGCGTTTTATAACCCCCTTTTGTGCTTCAAGGTGGCCTTCGGAACTTGAATCAAATATCAATAATATATGCAGTATATAGGCATACACAAATCATATATATGCAGAGTTATGCAGACATATCATACAAATTCCTTTGCCGTATGCGTTTTGGAGTGGCTAAAGTTTAAAGCTTGCGTTGTTCTCAGCTGTGAAAAAACATGTTGCTTCTCACCTTCGGTCACTTTGAAGAAGGGGAGCCTTCTTTTTTTCAAGTGTTTAAACGCGTCAGCCGTTCTATGGTTCGTGGGATGTCCTGTTCCCAAATGCTCAAGAGCAATGGCTTGACGATGCTCAACCAGGTTGCCCCAGCAGTTCTTTGACTAATTCTTTGGTTTCAACTTGCACGACTTTATGCGGTCTATGCCAATGTTGACCAATTCCTGGACGGGGCTGCCAAGAAAAGATACAGTTGCCGAAATTTGGTCCAGTCAACATGCGTGTGCAGAAAAGTGATTTGACTGCCGACGGGAAGGGGTCGACCTGAAGGAGTTTCCGGCTTTGTCGGACGGATGTCCGCCACGAAACGACCAGTGTCAGTCCGGTCGGTCTGGCGCGGATGTAACGCCCTATCTACGGATATCTACGGATCCGGACCTGTTTTTTACTGTTCGTCGGTGGGTGGATAGAACTCCATCTAGGCAAACTCCCTATCTTATTTGGGGACTACGTTCTAAACATCAAGATCAATTTGGGGGATGCACAGCCGAGCCCCAGCCCCTGAGAGAGCCCCCCAGAATTTCAAAGGAACCCAGGAAAAGGATACGATAGGAGGAAAGAGATGATATCGAAAACCAACCTGTGGGAAGTCTTTTTGCACCCTGAAGGATAGAAATGATAGAACATGTCTTTGCATGGAGGGGTGATGTTTGGAGTGCTTCTTGAACATCCAGTCACTGAAGGGCTTGAGAACCTTATTGGAAACTCCAGGTATCTCCGGGTGTTTGTTTGGTGTGAACGATTACGCGCATCATATGTATCAGCCAGTAGTAGTACGTAGTATGTTTTTTCGTGCGCACCATTGCACTGGATGTTTTGTTCTTTTGCTCGCTTTGTGTGAGGAGGATAGTCCTTGCGTGCGTTGGCTTTGGAGATTGTTGCCTGGGGCCTGAGGGGCTCTCTCAGTGGACTGACCAGGTTGAGACTGACCAGATCATCGAGTTAACATAGAACATGGCCCCAAAAGTGTGAGGAAGAGGATCAATGAGCATGAACGGTCCATGGATTTCGTCCTCAGTCCTTCATGTTTTCGTATATATGTGCTTTTCGTGACACCGGTGAGAGGCGGAAGACATCAGGAGATCAGATCCGCGTATGCCACGCCACGTGGCATCGGTCCATCGGTGACACCGACACGTTGAAACTGGTTCTATCCATCACGGCCCACGGTGAACACAGCGGCTTGCTCTGACTATTTGTTATCTATTTATTCAGTTTGTGGGGTCCTGTTGGACTCTAGTCCGGCATTCCATTCTATCATTCAACATGTAATTTGTTTGTTCTTGTTGTGATTCTAAGGCTTCGGTGCCACGCATTTTGAACCCTTGAGATCAACCTCCCACATCCACAACGTGAGGCAAGAAGAACTTGGTGCCGAAGATCTGGGTCGATTTCTCATGCAGGGTGCCCCAGGACGCGGGCGGACGCGGGCTCCCGGCGTCCTGTGGGGTTCCCATGGGTTCCCTGCATAGTGCAACCCTCGTCCTTCCGCTGCAACTGCCACGGCTTGTAGCAGCTGAGTTGCCATTGAAGGAGGCATGTGCCGAGAATAGGAGACTTTGACCAAACAACAGCACGCAATCGTGGGAAGAGCTGTGTTGGGCAAAAGGTTTCCTGGTTTCGTTGCTCGAGGGAATTGCCAACATAGAATCCGGTGGGGGCGGGTCAAGGTATCTTAAGTTCTCGACATTCTTGTATTGAGTTTCTTCCCCTGGGAACCCCTTGTGGTTCGGATTTCTCAGCTAGCAGTGCCAAGACACAGCTGCCTGCCAAGATCCCACTTGCCCCTCAGTCCTCGGCAATTCCGAACGCTTCAGAAAGAGATGGGTTCTGGATGTTCTGGCATGTGGCGCAAAAAGCTTTCCCTGTGCGCAAGCTCCGGGCGCGCGGAGGTTCGTGACCTCCTGTAGCCGAGCGCCGCTTTTGGGGCTGCCTGGCTTCGTACGATCACGGGCGAAAAACTTCCCAATGGCGGCTCGGGAGGTTCATAGTCATGCTGCCCCTCAACAAAAGGGTAGTTATATAGAGATTAGAGATCATCAAAATCATCAAAGGATGATTTTGAGGGCACCCCTCAGAGGGCCTGACACATGACCTATACCCCAGAGTTCCACAATGATCAAGATGCTTTGCAGTCACCAAAGCAGCGGCCACGTGTGAGTGGCAGGAAGTTCAGGAGTGACAAGGGCGCCACCACCTAGAAGCCTAGAATCCTTTGAAGCTGCTACTGCGCCTCAACAACAGCATACTGTATATATATATATATATTGTATATTGTATAACACATATATATATATACATATGCCCAGGAAGATTAACATGGAACCTGAGAACCACTGATTTGTGGAGGAAGCGAGTCTTCCGAAGGTCCATTTGCAGTTTCTATGTTGATCTTAGGAGATGTGCGTATATACTATGTATATATATATATTTTTTGAGTGGTGTATATATATATAAGCTATACTAGTAGAAGCCTTCACGGACTGGAGCTTTGAGACTCCATCGTTGTCGAACATTCAGGGGAGACATGTCCAGGGTCGCCCATCAACCCCCCACACGACCAATGCCGAGACAGATTGGGGCCCAATGCTTTCGGCATCCACGTCCACGTCCCGACCTGTCCACGCCCAGCCCCACCAACGTCCCGATGTCCCATATCAAACCGTTTGAATCCCTACAACTGCCGTTCAACTGCCAGACTGGAGGTTCAAAAACTTGAACCCCAAGTTCTGCGTGCACCGCGTTCCCGACGGCGAACGACTTCCCACCAGCGCCACGCAGCTTGGTGGGAGCTGGTTTTGGGGTTGGAACTTTGAAGCATAAGTGGCTGGAAGGGTTTTGGAGATCCAGTGCTAGATGGATGTGGCTCACAACATTAATTTTGCAGTCTCATCAAGGAATAATATATGTATATATATACACGTATATGTGTTTATTTATATATATATATATTCATATATTGTTACAATAGATCCTTTTACTCTCCACCACAAGGTTTGAATGGTACCCAGGTTGGGAGCAAATGACATACCCGTAAGTCGGCCTGGGTTGCATCGTGAGAGGGTCGAAGAGTGCGCTGCAATCATGGGAGATGTTGGCCGATTTTGGGATACGCTTGCAGATCTTTTTGTGTTTGCCGGCCTGAGAGGAAAAACAGACTGACCTACTCACAGGTGGTAGATGTTTGAAAGATTTCCCTTCACTGCCATGTGGATTGTTGAGGGAGACATTGAGGCACTAAGAGATACTGCTGTGTCGTCAGCTTTCCATGCCGTTTTTTTGGAGCTTTGAGTTGCACTTGTTTAAACGAAAAGCTAGCAGTTAGCGGTCTTTGACCTGGCGCTTCGCGTGTTCTTTACAAATTGCAAGGACAGTGCTTTACACATTATATCTCAAGCTTTGGTTTTTGGTGGATTTTTTCTGAGGTGCTCATTGCTCCTCAATCCAAGCTTGTTCCTGCCGAGTGGAATGAATCGAGCGTTGCCCGCGCTGTTGCCTCCTCAGGTGCGCCAATCTTTTGAAGTTGCCCGACTACACCAGCTACCAGTCCTTGAAGACCAAGGTCCTCCAAGCCATCCGTGCCTCGGTCGACTGCTGACTAAATGCTATGCGCCCTTGCATACGAGTCAGAACACCCGTGACTGCCCATCACAAATCAAGACGTTTTCTTCCACTTCCATGTCAAATGAGCCAGATTGATTCCAACAAATTTGGAAGCTCCCCAAGTCCTTTGTTTACTTGGATGAGGACACCAACAGCAGCTAGAAGTTCCACTCGTGCTCAATACTTTGCCTTTCCGTTGTCGATGGACACAAGCCATGATGCTAGATGCATCCCTGCTTATGCTCGCCCCAACACCAAGTCCGCCAACAAGTCCTCAACCCTCAATCAATACCTCTAGGATTCCTAGTCGGGTATTGTAAGCCAGCACTTGCGAATTCATTTAGCTGATAGCTTGTGAACTTAGTCACTTTTTGGTAGCAAGGCCAATCTTTACCTTGATGTCGTCACATTGCATTCCTGGGTGCACACCGTGCGATGTCCTCTAACCGTCGGGCAACGTGCCGTCCAAATCCTAGGTGCAGAGGCCGGCTTTGATTTGAGCTGAGATGGTGCCCTCTTTCGGGCGGAATTGATGCCCCATAAGTTCATAGAGATCAGGATTGGTGATACTATTTAGGAAATTAGAAGCGGAATTTGTTTTTGTTTCATAAACGCTTCAACCAACCCTGATCAAATTGGCTCGATTGGAACAGATCACGAAAGTTCATCGTTCTGAAACATTATATACAATATGATATATTCAATATATCAGAAGGCTTAACTTTACATTTGCATATTTTAAATGACAATAGGAATGATAATTGATTGAATAATATATATCCAAATATTTGGAATGCAATAAACATGTAAAACATTGCAAAAACAAGAAAAATATCAATACATATTTAATACATCATATATGTAATATATATATATATATATTTAAGGGCTTACGCCCGACAGCCGGCCAGGGGCCCAAGCAAAGGGCTTGTTGCAGTCGTGGTAGTGTGCTTGTCATTGTAGTTGTCGTTGTTGCTCGTGTTGCTGTTGTGTTTGGCCCATCTTGGCGCTATCTTGGCCCATCTTCATCTTGGGGGCTATGTTGGCCCATGTTGGGCTATGTGGCCCATGTTAGCCCAGCATCCGCCCACGATGCAGACGAAGCACCCCGGTGCGGCACGCATTTCCAGCATTATTTGGGCCTATGTTGGGCCATGTTGATTTTGCACCGCAAGATCCGAAAAATTAGACAAGCCAAAAACACTGTAAAACGCGGTAGCTTCGGTAGGTCCGCGCATGGTCGGCGGCGGGGGCGGGATTTCCTCTCTCCTACGGAGAGGAGAGATGGCCTACGGCAAGGACACGGCCTTGGGGCCTCCCGGGCCCCTGGCCGGACTATTCCATACATTTATATGCATGTTACAAATACCTACATTGGTGTAGGCTTGGGGCTCAATGTAATCAGAATATGGCATAATATATAAAAGACACTTATTTATTGAATCTGGAATGACGGAATTTATATTAAACAATTATTTTGGATATGTTGTTCGGAAAGATTGTTTTTAAATATAATATTGTTCGGAAATTGATGATAGATTTGTAGGATGTTAGTTTTGGATTGAATTAGGTATGAATATTGGTTATTTTTTTTGAAAAATATTGAATATAAATAAGTATGTTGTTATAGTTATAGTGGAAAAAAAAATAGTTGGTGGATTGTATGCGTGGATATATATTGAGGTTGTGGGCGGTTATGGAGAATTTATGAAAAGATATATATTTGTCATATGATAGTTAATATTTTATAGGTTTTTTGTAGGAGGAACGTCTGAAGCGTAATTGGGAGTTGATCGAAAACCCCGTGTAAGGAGCTTTATATAAAACAGCCTTTTAGATGTTGTTAGAATTATCCGCGAAAGATTCGCGATGAGGTTCGCGAAAGTATTTTTTTTTTTTTCCGCGAAAGATTTATCGAAGGTTATCACTTTTATTGTTTTCCTTTCTATCGGACTGATAAAGAGCTAGTGGGCGGAAGTGTCCCCATATGTCACAGACTAACGAACTGAAGCCTTAACATTTCCATGTCCGGGGAAAGCACCAGTGAAATTTCGCGAAAGATTCGCGAAAGTTTCGCGAATGCGCCGCTAAAGTCCAGGTTCTTAGCTTGAGGTCTCCTAACATTCCCCAAGCTGCATCACCCTGTGTTGGTAGCTGACACGAGGATTGGGTTGAGTTGTGTCTGATTCTATTTGGCACAGTAGCTGTGGAAACGTTTAACCATCTACTGGGGTTATGCTGCAAAATGTCTCTCCTTATTTTGTGATACTATGACATGTTCCGGCTCATGTTAGCTAGATATGGTTGTAGGACCATACTTCGCGATGAGGCCGCGAAAGATCCGCGAAAGATATCTTTTTTTCCGCGATGAATGGCTATTCTAGGATGAAAGAAAATTGATCAACCACCAATTGCGCATAGGAGGATAGATTATTTAGAAATTATGATGTAAATCGATGAATACGGCACGGAGAATTGCTCTTGATTTTGGGATGGATATGATATCGGATGTATCGCGCTAAACGAATATGGGATAAATATTAATGATATTATATATTTTATTTGGCTTAGGAAAAAGAAATGTTGAAATAAATATGTTTTTAGTTTTTTAAATATTAGATCTACTAATGAAAATATTATCATTAAATAAAATATATTTGGAATATTGGAAACAATAATAATTATTTTGCAAAAATAAGGATGTAATTTTTTTATATAGCAATAAAATCTATGGATATTTTTTTAATATTGATTTTAATAGTTATAATTGGGATATAATTTGGTTGGAAATTTATCAATTGATCTAAACATATATTCTTCATGGATATATTTTTTCTTGATGGCTATTAAATAATTTCATCTGATGGAAATAACAAGGGAAATATTAATTAATACGGAACATAAATGATTAGAATTATGTAGGAGGAATTTCTACGAATCAGATTCAAGATAATTCTTCCTGGAATTCATCGTAATTTGGATTAATTTACGGATTAATATTTGGATGGGAGAATGGATATTAGCAAGGAATTTCATTACCTATTGGGATTTATTTGAATGGAGATTCATGAAAATATTCTTTATCATTTCTAATGGGATTTTATTTGCGGATTTCTATAGCAATAATTGGTGGGCGGATTTCTATAGCAATAATTGGTGATGCATAGAATTATAGAATCCCTTTAGACATAAAGATTTCAAGACCCATAACGGTTATTTAAACAATGACAGGAAAGAAATAGATTAATAATGAATATCAAATGGATTCTATCCATGTCTTTTCCCAATTTCAAGAATCAAAGAATTATTTGGTTTTCGTTATTGGATGGAGAGATTTGTTTCGTGATTTTGCTTGATGATAATATGTATTGTCTAGAGTTTCGAGAAGCATTTAGATGGAATATAAAGCATAATGACCAATGATTTTGATTAATCATTCATGAAATCGGTGATTTCTTCATTTGGCCCATAAGGTTCATTTTTTGTTATACGAAAATAGAAAATAAAATTAAATATCAAATTATTTCAAGATGAATTTATGAAATTCATATTTATGAATTATTGCATTTCCTGTGAATATATATATTTTTTTTTATAATGAATCGAATAGAATTTTTGCATTATCGTGAATTAATCTTATATTTTTTAATGAAGAAATTCATAATATAATATCTATTGATGATCTGTGATAATCTATGGGAAATGGAGATTGATATTTCCTATAATATATTGGAAATATCCCTCGTTACAAGGCAATTGATGATCTTCGCATTGTTGAAGGCGACCAATTTCTTCTTGATCCATATTCTTCCGGAGAAAATTGTAGAATATTGCCAATTGATAGTTGGAATTGGCACAATGACACAATTCTTGAGGGCCATTTGACCGCAATCATACAATGAAAGACAAAGATTCCCACATTTCAATTGTCCAAAGCCTGCTTTAAAAAATCTATTGACAAGAAGACCTTAAAGATCAAGGTGGAATCTATAGATCAGAAGAAGCCTAAAGGCAAAAATCGCGGCAAAGGACGTGCAAAGATCGTGGAAAAGGCAAGAAAGGTATCATCGACGAAATTGAAGATGATGAGGATGATTGGGATGAGAAGTGATTTGAAGAGGAAAATCAGGAAGAACCTGAGATTGAGGAGCCTGAGATGGCCAGAATCGCTAAGGCCTAGCATATAATCATTACAATTGGTCCTGGGAGTACGAATCGTAAGGGAAATCCTATTCGATCGTTTGTTGGCATTTTTATTTCGCATTTTGGTGGATTGGCAAGGCTTTATGAATTTCTTCGGCAATTGCTTTAGAAACCAATTCATCTTCGTCGTTCCCCAAAGATTTATCGTCGCTGCATTCCGGGATGGCCTCAATTCTGTACATAATGTGCTCAGAGCCCTAACACTAATCCTCACGCCGTGTGGTTTTATCCGTCCTGCCTCCGGTAGGTCGTCTGATCGAATGATCTTATAAAAAGGCAATCTATTGGAATTTTTTTCGCATCGAATCGAATTGATTCTTTATGTTGGACAGGATGGCCAATTCTTCGTGTTCCGATAGCTTCAACGGAATCTCATATTGAATTTATTGCGCCCTTCGCACTAGGCGTTCGAATTCTACATTGGAGTCTTTGACAGGCTGCTCCTGCTTTTTGCGGCATCATTTGAACAAATCCATTATATTGGAATTCTTGATGATCTCAATGTCCATCAATCGCGCCCTCACCTATTCTAGGAAATAGGACACACCATTAGGAATTGCTAACATATCTACATCCAATTCTTCATTAATTTATTATATAATACCAATGCCCTTTGATAGACCGATATACGAGTGCAATGAAACCTCTTTCTTTCTCTTTCTATCTTGCATTTTCCGGATATATACATATATGTATATATATAATCTAATCGTCTTCCCAATTTCGGAATCATTGATATATTCCCCGTCAAAGGAAAGAATTAAAATTATCGGATGTATGTTTTTCTCTTCGCCTTGCCACTCCCATGCGGCCCCATGGACAGCGGTATCGTTCCCTCCATGGTGTATTCGTTATTGTCTAAATGGTGACATGGGTTTGGATATATATAATAAGCCCTTCATTCGGGTGTCTGTCAAGGATTCATCAATCGAAATATCATTTGCCCTTCCATTCCTAATATAAATGGACTAGAATGGTCTAATCAATTCGATTTCTCCTGAAACCGCCTATGGGATCCCCAATCTGTTCATTTGCCGAGGCTCGCCATTCTATGAAAGGTTTCTATATCGTTATCGGGCATTATCTTCGATCTTTGCCTAGATTTTGCTTCGTAACATCGATATCAATATTAAAATAGATTCAAGACCTGGAGACACATCTCCTAGAATCAAATATGGGAAGATCAATTAACCCAATCGACCCTCCCGAAATGAATCGATATTTTTCATTTCCATTACCCCCAAAATATTTTCAAGGGGATCAATAGAAATTCTCTACACCACCTAGGGATTTCAATTAAATACCCCTTTGCTAAAAATATCATAACATATCGCATACCGCACCTCTTTTAGACAACATAAAATGGTTATAATTCAAATATATTCGATCATCTATATTTATTAAATTATATTGGAATATCCATGTATATTTGCTAAATATAATATTTAAAAATATAAGAATATATAAATATATTTAATATATACATATTCGATTATATATATATAAATAGAAATTCAAACAAATATTAATAAAATAATATGAATTCATAAATATATAAATTTTAAATAAATATATATCTAATCATTTTAAAATAAATAATTAACAAATAATATATCCTTATATTATAATATATCTTTATATTATAGAAATTATAGAAATCGAATATATTATATTTAATATTAAATAATTCATATTAATATATATATATATTATAAATAAATATATATACATATAAATCATAATTAATATATTTTAATTCTCTAAATATATATATTTTTTTTTTTAATTTATTTTATTTAAATTATACTAAAATATGTTAATATATATAAAATAATGTTATAATATTATTAAATAATCAAATTTATAATTTCTATTTATATATATATTTTGAAATATATATAAAATTCTAATTTATATAATTTTATCATAAACAAAAAGAAAGAAAAAATCCGCCTTATATTTCTTAATTTTAAAAACAATAATTTTAATCATAATCGTATGTATTTTTTAATTTAAAAAAAAAAAAAAAAAAAAATTAATTTAAATATTTTTAATATATTATTAATAAACATAAAATATATCGAATAATATTTAAAAATATATCCAATTATAAATAATATTTCATTATCCTATTTTATTTATAAATATCATATAAAATAATCCAATAGAATAATAATATTATTTAATCTTACGATCATATATTATTTTTTAATTAATAATATTTAGATTTTTGTAATTTTAAATTCAAATAATTATATATATATTAAATATATTTACAATTTATATTTTCAAAATATTTTTATCTATATAATCTATTTTTAAACATATTATATATATATATATATCATTTTTTAAGGGGTATTCCGGATACGTCCTATTTATAAATATCTATAATTATATATAAATAAATAAAAACCATCGGCAAAAGCATGCAAATGATGGACACCTCAGAATCTCCTCAAGTCGAGGAAATCTTTACACAACTTGTTACAACCGTACTTTGTGATCCAAACAGCAAATGTATCCAAATGATTCTACATGTTCTTTTTTGTGTTTGTTGCATTATTTATAATGATCTTTCGGACGATGTTGCCGTGTGAGACAAACTGCGGACGAGATTGTGAAACGGAGTCGTTCATGACCCTCCAGTGGCCTGGATGTTGATCAAAATAACTTCAGATTACTTGCCTTTGCATACGTTTGGAGCTGCAGCCAGCCTATTGTTATGAAATGTGTTGAACATCCTGGAGGATTGATCCCTGCCCGGTGTCGATGGCATGCAACTTGTTGGGAAACGCTTTCTGCAGTGGGAGGCAGTTAAAGCACCGGTGTTAGCCTAATATACTTACAAAGGATTGTCAAACAAGCTTCTAGTTAGCGCCCTCAAAAACAAATGTGATGGGACTGCGGAGACCCTTGTGTCATCGTCTGGGTTTCCTCCTGTCCATGAGCTTTTCCTCAACAAAACTTGACAAGAAGTGAATAGTTCTTCATTCATACCCCATAGTGGACACTCATATATCAATTGCATGGAGGATATTCATTCCACAGTTGAGTAGGTTCTGACTCGCCCATATACTAACGTTATTGTTCTCCAAATCGACTGAGTCTTCAGATCGACGAAGGCACCAACTCGGTGGACCCACCTAGGCCACAAACCTGCCAAAGCTGCTTTTCAAGCTAAGCTCATGGGTTGAACTCGAACCACCAGATCTTAGACTGGACACTTGGGGTGCACATTGGATGTAGCCTGTACGTGTTCTCAAAACCAGGGGTGCACATGTGGTCATCCTACAATGACGGAGACATCAAAACCAGTGATCCTTCTGGGAAAGCTGGGATGAGGAGTCCAATCTGTTGCTGTTCCCATCTCTTCATTAATCTGACACATTCCATTTGAGCACCCATCTCAGTGGAGTTCAACCAATGGGGCGCTTTAGAGCATCAACGTGAATTCATGGGCTATGCGGCGATTGAGCTGACATCCGAGCGATGAGCTTGGCGCGAGACATGACGGTTCTCCTCTGAGCCCAAAATGCCAAAGCATCTTTCTGGAGGGCTTCAGAGCAACAAAAATCATTGAAAAGGAGGGATGAAATAAGTTCACTGGCTTCATCTTCTCAACTTTGTGAGTTGCTCCATGTCTCTCTGCCACATCGTCAAGCGCAGAAAGGCACGGATGCTGGGCGGCGAGCTACACTTCTCCCTTCAGAAAGAAAATCCATGGTGTGGACACCTGGACGTCCATCGGGCCAGCGAAAAGCACGAACAAACACCGGTCCCTGGGTTGGCCACATGAAGATCATGTTGGTATCTCTTGGAAGAATGGATAAGAAAAAAATGGAATGAGACTTTGCCTGTTTCTGTTCGCTTTATTGTTTAAACATCTATAGTCAAAGGGGTCCTGATAGGGGAGACTCCAAGACGCTTTTTTGCCCATCGTCAAGTGCAAGTCGGGGATCTCACTCTACAAGCATAAACAATCAAAGTTCCAAGTGTATCCAAACGCGTCTGCTCCCCAAGGAGGAATCACCAGGGCCCTGCGGCCATGCATGGCACCATGACCTTCGTGGGTTTTGGGACGCCAAAAACGTCGCGTTTCGGACTCGAAGCGACCCGTCGTTTGGCGGCTGCGACCCGTCCAGTTCTTCCCAGTGCCCCTTGGCCTTGTCGCAGGAAATGATGAGACGTCCTCCCTGTGGCCTGACGACCCCATCTCGGCAAAGAAACGGCATATGATCGTTGTAGCAGAGTGCTTGCTGGACCACATTGATGGAAGAGATTGGAAGGGTGTGAGTTCAATTGACAACAAATCGGGTATGGATCACATTGACTCACTATTGAAGTGACATGAACAGTTCCATGTTGCCAAGTTTGACTTGGACAACAAATGGTTGAAGTCCTGTAGCAGTGGATGGACCTCCTATTATATTATAAGTATAAGCGTATAACCGCTATTGAATTGTCTCTTCTGAGTCTAGGGATCAATTCTACTTTTTGGAACCACACAGCTCATGTCTGTGGTATAGAGAACTTGCAGGGCATGATTGAATCGTGTTTTGTGACCCCCCCAATCTTCCCCTATCAGTATGTTCATCCTAAGATATCCTCAGTCAGTTGTGGTTTGGTCTGGTCAGGCGTCTCACACATGTGCCCCCCCTGGCCCAGCGGGCCGGTCTGAACCGAGATCTGGCATGGCTGGCCTATCAGACTTGAAGTTCACCGAGATCTGCACTGATTTTTGCGGGTCGATCCTGCCAAACGAACGAACTCCGAGCTGCGGCCATCAACTGCTTGTGCCAATCAACTGCTGAAGTGGTTTCATTGAAAAAGATCTGAGGAGGCTTATCTTCATCAAACATGCACATACTTTGCTGTGTCTTCATCGTGTGAACGCTCTCAAGAGAGTTCGATCATTTTTCTAATTACTGTGTATATATATATATATATGTATATATTAAATTATGTATAATTGTGAAATTAATTGTGAACTTATGTGAACTTGTCACCACTCTTGTCTAATACAACCCAACCACCTCCAATTCCCATACGAAAAAAACAAGACAGATCTGACCGGAACCGGAGAAGGCTTAGGAAGGCTCATCACCTCCAGCAGTGAGCTTGAGATACAAATCTCTTGTACCAATCGACTGGCACTTAATAATGTTCCGCTGGTCTATGAAGCCTCCAAAAAGTCAAGTCCAAGTCCATTCCAACAGCCTTCTAAACATCCCGGCGTCGCCACACCCTTAACCAATCTATTGCGAAAATTAGCTTGGAGGGGTAGAGACGGGTCCAAGCTCGATGATGAGCGATAGCAACAAAATACACAAGAAAACCAAACAGGAAACTCAAGCCCTGCAAAACGTCAACGCCACTCTACCAGAGTCTGTGGGCGGAAAGCAAGTGCCCGACCCGGCCCCTGAGATTTATCTTAAATTGATCTTATGATTGTATTTATGGTTGATTGCAACAACCAACCATCCGTGGTCCTCTCAAAGGTCTCGTAATATTTCGTATTTAAACAAAGACTCACGGTGAAGGTTTGTCTGCACACCGGGGACATTAGAATCATTAGAGCAATGGATGAAAGGCCAGGATTTCTCATTTCCAGCCTGACCGCGTGTCTAACCCTCCACCTGAAGAACAAGAACAGTGAACCTTCAGAACAATCAGCTCGTAACTACCGGTTCATGATCTCACCCAGCTGGATGCAGTCCTTTGTGTTCTCGTTGGCACCATGAAGCAGGGGTTGTCCACCTGCCAGATGCACATGTTTGGACAGATGTCCCCCAGTCCAACTGCCACGGACCACCTTCGACTGTCCAGTCCAGACCGATAGACTCTCCTTCGTCACCGACAGTCGGTGCGAGGAAAGGGGGGATGACCGGATGAGCCTTCGGTTTCAATCTGAAACAGTAACAAAGGGCATGGCTACGAACGGAGCCAGAAGCTACTATATAGTAGCTCCTGGCATTACTACTAGTAGCAAGGACGCTACGAACGTAGCAAGGATGGTGCACCGAACGGGACCCCCCCCGTCCTTGGGACGGGTGAAACTCCTCTCGACGTGGGCACACCAAAAACCAAACCAACCCTGGACCATGGATAGCTTCCATGGGTCACGTAGGCAACATGATGCAACATGTACACCATAGCTTCTCGCGGTGGATGGCTTGTGAGGTACGCTGACCTGGATGGCCAAGTGAACTTTGCAGTGTCTCCACAAACCCGTTGCCTTCAGAAAAAGAAATCAAGCCATCACTCACGCCTTGATCCCGAGTCTCTTGAAACCCATGGTCTACATGCACATGGGGCGTCCTGTGCGATCTTCAGAACATCTCTGTCAACCAACAAACTTCCGAACATCATTACTGTGGCTTGAGGGTTGGGCTGGGCCTGGCTCATGTGATCACCAACCACAGAAGCACCACCTGTCCGTCCGCTGTGAAAACCAGTGGACATTCGTCCCCCGAAAACCCGGTACGTGCCACTCTCCGATCTCCTGAACTCCGATCTCCCACCTCGGGGCACTCTCTCCCACTCCGGTTCTCGAACGGGCGTTCGGGCACCTGCAAAGAGAAGTCCGTGGGCTTGTCGAACGGGTTTCGGAACTCCACCGTACCCTGCTTGCCGTTCATCATGGTAATCGGACCCTGGCGAGGCACGGGCCGCGAGTCAGTCGGACGTCCGGTTCGGGGCGGCCGACGGGAAGGGAAGTCAATGGGATCCGAAGGCACAGACATGGAAATCTGGGACCACTCGGATGCACTCGGCATCTTGAGGAAACGTTCACGGCGGATGAACAAACAACATGATATGTATATATATATATTATAAACAAATCAACTATTTTGGGTGGGTTGGTGGTCCAAAATAGAGGTCACGGCTTCTAAGTCACTACTCATCACGGGTGTCTCATCTCGAACCCGCCTGTGGTTGCGGTGGTTGCGCGAAGCCAGTGAGCAATGCTTTGTACCTGGGGGTGCGCCAAAGATCGCCTGGGGGGAGGTCCCTCAATCATTCAAGTAGAGAGCCCAATCAGAGGGCTCCTATTCAGCTATGTACCACCAATATATGTGTATATATATAATTAAGAAACTTGATAACATAGCCTTTCATAGGGAAGCATTGAGAAAAATTGCAAAACATAGAAAAGTATAGTTGAGTCAACTAATGCAAACTGTTGATGAATCAGAACCCGTCTCCAGAATGCTTTTACATGGTCCATGCGGGAGGTTTTATTTATCGAGAGTTTACATTTGGTGACTGGGTTTGTTGTTCTCCAGCCAACCATCATGTCATATCATGTCATATTTCTCTCACCACCTCTTAGTTGCCATCTATTATGAGACCACAACTCCAGGCCTGCAAGTCAATGTTATTCCTGTTATGTTATCATCTGCGAAAAGCACAGCATCGCAATTGTCCATCCAACATATGGAGAAGGCAGGGTCAAAAGGATCTTTCGGCACACTTGGCCTCCAAGTGAGGCCCGGTTAAGTGACCACGACGAAAAAACACCTCCTGGGCTGCCCCGCTCACCACCCCCAGGCCCGCTGATCACGAGCAGCGCCCGGCATTCTCCCAGCATCTGGCGGGCAGTGCAACTTCGGGACCAAAGCATGGGAGATGTCGTCCAACCAATCCCATTTACAGGGACTAAAAGCTATCTGGACTAGCGCCAATCAAAGAGATGCCTCAACACATAGAAGAGTCCGAAGATTCACTACCTTTGGAGGTTTACCATAGCTTTTGTCTCACTTAATTACTTAATCCAGCTCTTGATGGCAATGACATTGTTGCTGTGGTTTACCTCCGGATCTTTTCGCATCTCCACGCACTCTCTGTTCTCATGCCATACACAGCAAACCAAATTGTGGAGACTAGTAGTGTTGGTCGAAAGGTGACCCCTGCGCAGCGCTCTAAATAGGTATAAATAAGCACACACTTAGAGATATCACAATGGTTTGATAGATGACGAGTACAGCTTCCTTCAAAAACACATAGCTCACATGTTTCTCACCTCTAAGTTAAGTGTTCCTGAGGTTCGACATCTTAAAACTTACTTTATTCCAATTACTACGTAGTGCTCATAGGCCATCGGCTATCTCCTGAGCTATCTCCGACATTGGTCTATCCCTCTATCCTATCAGTCTGTCTCATCGAGTTTGATCATGTCGGATGTCTGCTTTCGCAGCAAATACGACCGTCCGGAGCTTCGGTCGTTGAGCTTCGGTCGTTGCAATAAACGAAGAAAGACTTCCAAGACCAAGAAGTCATAGTGGACCACGCTCTTTAATTACACAATAGATGTGCTAAAGGTGGACCCTTCACACCATGTCATCGATTGCCCGCATTTCGTGTTCAGACAGAACCCAAGTGCGATGTCCTCATCACCCCCAAAACCAACCGCTTCGCCGTGTTCCACCGGGTTCACGGCCGCGCTCGCGCTGGGCACCGAGGGTTGGAATTTCACGCCCAGCTCCGTGGGGACCGGCTCGCCGGTGGCGCCAGTGGCCGTGACCTGGCGGACGTGGCGGACGTGGCGTCCGTTTGGCGGTTTGAGATGTTGTTTTTGGTATCACTTGGTGTTTTTCGTATCATTAGGGTCAGGTTTTTCAACATGGGATGTCTTCTTGTCAATCTGAGATGTAAAGAATAGGATCTGGGAGACAGTGTTACTGACTTTCGGTGGCTGGGTTGTTCATGTAATGTTATATATGTTCTACCCTTGCGGTCCTCGAGGCGAATAGGATGTTCTTTTGACAAAATACAAGACTGTGGGTGATCAACACTGGTGGAACACCATGGAACACCACTAAACTCTCAGTTTCTTTCTGGGCAACTGTGCTATCTAGTCTGAAGACAGCTGCAGGCTTTCCCGTGCAAACACAGGGTGTTGACCTTCCGTGCGCACTCCTTTTTCTCTTTCGGCGTTCGCACAGGAATCCGCGCGGCCACCGCGTCAAACTCATTCTGCTTCTTCGGTGGGATGGGACCATCCACTCGGCCGTGAGTCAAATAGCCCTGGCTCTTCCTGGGTGAAAGGGTGATCGCGCGGAGGGTCGAGTTGGTGTGCTGCGCCCGCGCGGAGACGAGGGGATGGTTCAAACCACGATCAATGAACGCTTTGTCTCTCTCTCTCTCTATGTTATATACATATATATACAGTATCTAAAAGTTATCAGTGTATGTATATAGATGCACTGCGATCATCAACATTAAACAGGACATCTGATATCGTATCATTAAACGAAACAGAGCGTATCGATAGAGCTTGACACACCGCTGCCAACTTGCGATCCCAAGGCCACACCCCATTTAGGTGCCCGAGGAATGAAAGCAGAACGTACAAAAATAGTGAAAAGGCAAAGCAATGTGCGCAAGAAGTTGTTGGAACCAAGGTAGGTGATACTATTAATGTATCTCTATCTCTCTCTCTATACATATATACTGTAATCTATGTTTTTGCTGGGTGAAGAATACCTGAGCCAGTATGAGGATCCAGTTTGTCGATCCACTGCGAGGCTTGAACGCGCGAGCTCTCAGTACCATCGACGCTGTTGGGCTAGGCGTGTGCAATTACTTTCAAGGGAGAGACAATGGTGAGACCGCCGGGGAGATGGTTGAGATTTGTCGTGGGTGTTGTCATACTGCGATGTCTCTATCAAATGAGCCTGGCCATGAGCCTGGTCACGCATAGAAGAGCATGTGTATCATCAATGATACAAGGTGGTTTCAAATGTGAGGTTGCCCCATGTTGCCCCTATTTGAGACACAACGATATTGAACCATATTGAAGGAATTCTGGTGCAGCAGGATCCATACCCATCTGTATTGTCTATGTTGACAGTGACTGCGAAGAGTCAGTGATTGTGGCCAAATGAAGGGACGGTGAGTCGAGTCGACTGAGCATATTTTCTGCGTGGATAGATCACCAAAGACGCCGGGCACCCATGGAGTGAGAAACTCCCTGGCTTCCTTTGCAAATGGGACGCTTTCCAAATCCATACTAGTGAGTAGGAGGGTGTGCAAAATGGAAAGTGAGAGTTCCTGGCCTTTCCTGGCCTTCTTCCACACCAGCTCCTTCCTCTGTACGCAAATGATCTCCTTCATCCATGCTGGGGACCACTATACAAGCAATGCACCAGCATTTTGGTGCGTATAATAATAAAATATCATATCATATCTCACTAATTGCATAAACAAAACCATCTCCCCAAGATCCACATTGCTAACGTAGACGTAGACCCTGAATGACAAACAAGGGGGTCAATCAAGAGAGAGAGAGAGAGAGGGAGGGAGGGAGGGAGGGAGGGGAGGGGAGGGAGGGAACTACTCTTAAATTAAAAGACATTCTGGTCCTCTGATACACTTCCCAAAACTGACATGCTTTGCCCCGACTGCCCTTCTGCTATACAAGAGCAACAACATCCTCTTCCACCCCAAAGATGGCGAACTGTTTGCTTGGGAGGGAAGCGAACCCCAAAGATGGCGAACTGTTTGCTTGGGAGGGAAGCGAAGGAAACGTCGTCTGAACATGTATGAACCCAGCAAGGCGATTGGTGCCCGACTAGTGGTCTTCCAAGAAGACTTGTCACTGACCAAGGGTCGCATAATATCGCATAGGTCTGTTATCTCTGGAGTCCAATAATCGGGCCAAACTGTCTGACAAGCACCATTAATGACAGACCCCAACAGGGCCTAGTCTTTGGAGGGTGGCGCATTAATTGCAGCGAGGATCAGCTGCTGGTTGTGCATTTGGCAGAGGTCGATTCCTGTCACCGATTTGAAGATGACATAAATGGGTGTGCAGCCCAAATAGGGAGACCTTCCATGTTGACTCCCTGGAAGAAGGGAAAGTAGACCAAACCCATGGTGGTCGATCTGCCTAACTAAAAACACACCCATGTAGCCACATGTGCGCTCAGAGCACGCGCGGGTTCTGCAGCTTGAAGATCGTTAAGTTTTACCATCTTTGCCTTACCGACTTACCAGGAAGCTGATAAACTACGTAGTGCTACACCTCTTGACTAAACTATATGACAATTCTGCATATCATAAGTGGTTTCTCTTTGGTTCTCTTTAAACTTTCTCGTGGACGAACGGTGGTCTCATGACATGATCGCCTGATGTCAACTGACATGAGTGTACCTAGCCGTTGAACGCTGAAGATGGCTGTGGTGACGAAGCACCGCATGCACGTTGGGGATGGCGAAGGCAGCCCGCCTGGCCGTCGAGGGAAGCTGCACTGGGCACCCAAGCCTTCATTCCAAACGCGGCTCATGCAGAAGAAGCCGGTGCAGCACTCTTGGGACTGGCGCGCAAAGGCCCCAGGCGACACGTGCGCGTTTCTCCGCATGTAGAACAAACAGTGGTATATACATGGAACAGAATAGTGCAACTGTTGACCTGATGAGGCAAGGGAAAGCTCGCATTGTGATTTTGGAAAACCAAACACCTCAGAATGATTCATCAACTTTGAGCTGCTGAGGCTCATTCTCAGAGACAATGCGTGATAGTGAGCAACTGGAAAGCAGTCCTGGCGGTTCCAATGGCAATAAAGGAGTATCGGACAAACATTACAAAGTCCAATCTAGGTGGTGAACAAAACATGTATCCATGCCTGTATATCATGCCATTGCCAAGGCGTCGACCATTCAAAGCTCCTGGGACAGATATTGTCCTCACAACACTCTTAAGCCGGGACTATTATTGTCCCCTATGTTTCATCATGTACATCGAATATACCCTCCAAAACTCCTGACGCACATTCCACAGACGTGGCATGACTTGGCCAAGCTAGTCTAAACCACTTGGGAAGAGTGAGCTCCGTCTGCCTTAAGAGATGCAACTGAGAGAGCTGGTCAACTAGCTGCAAGGAAGACCCCGATGTGGATGTCATGAAATAGGAAGCAAACCCGAAGCCACCCCCTGAAACGAAAGCACACCAAAACAAATGTTGGGTCAGAAAATGATCAATCCCCACCCAGCTTTCCCTTCTCCCTCACCCCACCCCGGCCTGAAAGAACTCTTCTTTGCTCGTCTGCAATCGATAAACTTCCCAGAAAGGGCCGTCGACCTTGGAGCACCAAGAAATGTATATCGTAATATCATATCCTTTTTATTGTGGGACATGAGCCTTTTTGCCGACACAAGCTTTCTCTGCAATATACCAGGCCTTTAACAACCAGGTTGTTGTTCATGTTTTGACATGTGCAGTACAGTAGTAGTGTTTAATATGTTCTTGGGTGCCATTGGTAGTTGTTTCAGCAAGGTGCGGCGGTTGGTTCAGCAATGTGGACCTGAAGGTTTGCTGCTGTTCCCAAGAAACATGAAGAACATCAATGAGTCTATGAATCTATGCTCTCTATAAGTGAAACACAGGGCAGAAATGAGATCATTGGCGAATCTACTAAAACAATGACCCCTTCCACAAGCACGATGAAATCATATCAAATCACTGCTACAGTACCTGGGTATACCTCGTCCTCTACCTCAGGGATGGTTTCAGCTGTACGTTTCACCGTGCGAAGTGCGAACATTGATGTTTGAAAAGAAGCCGATCTGGCCACCGGGCTCGGTGCCGAATCAACTTCTGTCAACACTCTTGGTGATTGAAAACTATTGAAAGCCCAGGCACTACCTCATCTCCAGCGTTCGACACGTCATGTGGCTGCGTGGCAATCCACTCCTGAAGTGGACTCAAGCTTTGCTGCGATAGGCGGTGAAGACTGACTAAAAGCGGAACAGCTATACTATCCAAAAGGGGTCACTACGGTCATGCTATCCACTTCCAGGAAGCGTTTGGAGTGGAGGGTTAGCCATGCGTAGCCATGCGTAGCTCAGCGCTGTTGTCTCCACTGCTACGACGGCTTGATGGGAGACAAACATACCTAGATGGAATGACTCGGTGGGTTCCATCACGCGGCAGTGAGGGTTGGGCAAAATCCTCGGACCTGGTGGGGATATGATCTCCTCCAAGTCACAAGCGAGTCACAAGCTCAAAGGAGGGCAGTTTCCTTGCTCTTGGGGTTCATAAGATTGGAGGACATGTTTGAGGCTTAGAAAATTACAGTATTTAAAAAAGTAAAAAAACTCAGAGGGAAAAAACACCAAACCACTGGCCATCTATCGAGTCGATTTCATATAAACCCCTCATAACCGAGGCCGTCGGAGAGTTCTCTGTGGTGGTTCGACAGCGGGGCCGTTAACGGCCTGGACGGCAGTTCCTAGCCGTACCGAAGCTGAGGTTTGGTACGACTGGTTCGGACAGACTTGTGATGAGGTTTGTCTCAAAAGCAGATGGTGCATCACAGCAGGTCTGACGTCCAGATTGTGTATGATTGTGCAGCACAATCTATACACAATTCTCTCATACAGTTGTTTTCACATCTTCACAATTTGGAAAGCTCGAGAGAGCACAGCTAGCTTTGCTTCTTTATCGCTGGTAAACGACAAAAGGCAACCAACACAACTACTCCACTCCATTTGCCCGATCCTATTGCTATTTTACGCCATTAGGTGTGGTATATTTCAGACTCTTCCCCAAACTGATCGGCTCTTCTCCAGTGACAACTCCTCATCCTCCATCTTGCTGCTCTTCTTCCTCGCAGTGGACCCTGGCGAGGCCGGCCGCTTCGTCCTCGTTCCCTGGCGCTGCTTCGGCGTCCGCGGCTTCGGCGTCCGTGCAGCGCTCGGCTCCTGCGGGAGCACCGCAAGGTGAGGTGGTGGAGAGACACCCCAGAAGCCGAGCAGGGGATGAAGTTGTCGAGTTTTGAGCCGATGAATATTGGATTCTATTGGTATCTTTGAGACTTCTATAATCCACCACAGAAAGGTTGTCATATGTTGTCATGTTGTTTTAAGTGATTGAATATGTTGGGTCCGCAGGGAATGTGAATAAATTTGCATCGCTTGAACAAACAGTGACCGCAGCCATCTTCTCTTCTTGGTCTTCCACACCTTTTTTTGTACAGTATATAGCCAGTCGTAGCCAGTAGCCAACATTGAGAATACCACATGAGGCTCTCAGCGAAAAATGAGCCAGTGGCAACGTGTCAAACACAGGACATCCATGGACACACTCTAAAAACCTCCAACAAAAGCAACACACACTAGATGGAAACATACCAAACCCCTTTGGTTAAAGTGGGCCTCCACTACCACCAAGCAACTAGCTGGTTCGTACTTCCTCTTGGTAGGGCGAGGGTTGCTAACCGCTAACCACCTCTTGAAAGCACCTACTTTCCCTCTTCCTCGTCACTGCGCCGAGTCACTGCGTCTTCCTCGTCCTCGTCGCGGCCCGTCTTCGCACTGGACAGTAGCTCTTCCAGCTGCGCTAATGGCAGCTCGCCCAGCTTGGCTCCGCGACCCGCACGGCCCGGACCGTCCGCCATGAGAGGAGCGGAGCGAACCGGAACAGCGGGGGGTTGGTTATCCAGTAAGAGATTGGAGCAACACTGCCTCTGGTTTCGGAATATGTTTGAGAGATGAGATTTCCTTGGTTGATGTTGGTTGTATCTGATGATCATGGCTTGAGGATGGTGGAGTCAGTGGCTAGACATGAAACTTGGGTTCTCACTTCTGCCTGATTGGGGCTGTAATCGATGCTGCTTGCATCCTCGATGTAAGTTTGACTCGGAGCAGTGCTTTTGGGGGCAAGTTTAAAGTTGATAAACCACAGAAGCAGAAGAAGTTGCTGGATGTTGCTGGTAAAATCACGTTTGCATTGTACTCCAGCAAACCAGCAACGATGGCAAAAAACGACTCAATTGTGAAGCAAACAAGTATGCCACAGTTTGATGTTCACTTCAGAGTCTATACCTGCATTTTGGGAGGGATCCCCTCAACTCCACTCGCCACAGACATGTTCATTGATCCCCCGTTGTGGCGCTCTCATGACGTTCTACAGGTCCGTGTGGCGTTTCGCAGGTCTCTTTCATACAAAAATCGCACCGGGGCTTGGAGCTGGTGAGCTTCAATAGGTTCTATATATGTATATGGTGTTATACTGCATGTATATATGGTTTTATACTGCATGTGGTCCATTTATACTACGGGTAATAGGTTTGGGGGGTTACTAATGTCGACTCTTTACAAAAAAAACAAAAAACAAAACATGCAAAAAGGATGTTTGAACCCAAATTAGGGGGGAGGCCCATGATCTCATGAATTCTCATGATGGGGTTTTCTCCGGGTGAAAAATATGTCTTTTCCAGCCCATCTCCGCCTCTGAGCTCTCCAAGAAGAAATCGCTTCCAGGGCCTTTCTGCCCGGGTGCTGCCTCCGGTCTCGGTTCTGGACGGATCCACCGGTGAACCGGACATCCTGAGGGTATCAGATTGATTGACATGACAAGTACAAAAGCCTAGGGCTGTTGAAATCCTGTAAGACATATCTGATTGTGGAGGTCCATATACTGTAAGTAGTCTGGGGGGTCTCATTTCTTGGACTCCTTAGCTGGTTCTGGCCTACTTCATTCATATTCATATTTCTCATTCATTCATATTCATACTTCTCTTTCTCACCCCAAAGGCAGGGGGTCCATTTTCGGTGGAAGGTGGCCTTGGTCGGATCGCAGTGGATTCCAAATGGCGCAACCGGCCGAAACTGTTCGAAGACCCGGCCCGGCCTGACGAATCTGGACATGTCTGGACGACCTGATATGTCTCTATACCTATACCTATATGGTTCGGCGTATCATGAGGTTTTGGACCGACATCCATCTTGCGGCATTCTTTTCGCATCAAGGCCGCTGGGCAATTCATTTAGATCTGCCGCAACAATCCTAGACTCAATAAACTCTGTTCATTCTACAAAGGGTTGAGGTGATGCAAAACACAATTAAATCTCCTACATTGCCCATGACTGCATATCTGACAGCCCGTGGTGCCTCCACTTTGGCCTTGTACCTGAAGAGCAATGACGGTGCATCGATTGCAAATCTACTCTTGAAAAAGTGCTATAATATAAAACTTGGATCACATAGGTTGGTCCACAACCTATCAACCTAGACAACCCAGTCTGTTTGTTTGTTCGTCGTGTTGCCCTCTACCAATCTACCACTGGATAAGACTTGGCATTTTGGAGAGACGAGCATCACAAGTCCATAGAAAGCATAAGCATCAGCTTCAAGAAATGGAACGGAACCGAATACTTGATGTAGACTGGTCAAAGTTCTATTCGGAAACTTTACGGTGTTCTCGGAAACTGTTAAATGTAAACTAATCTTCGGCAACTAATCTTCGGAAACTCTACGGTGTTCTTCAGAAACTAATGAACTACAAAGAGTCGAAGAGCAACATCAAGCCTGCACGAAAAACTTGCTGCAGATCGCAAAACAAGCATGTATATACCGTAGCCGTCACAAGGTACGTCAATGTCCCACCTACCTACCCACCCACCCACCCAGTGCTCCTTCATGCAAGTTGGCTGCAACATTGTAAAAGTTCTGAGGAATACTTTCTAAAGTTAGCTTTCTGAAGATCGCGAAATAGTCTCTGAAGATCGGGGAATAGTTTCTGAAGATCGCACAATAGTTTCTGAAGATCGCAAAATAGTTCCTGAAGATCCCAACATAGTTTCTGAAGAATAGTTTCTGAAGAGTAGTTGCGGAAGAGTACCAAATAGTTGCGGAAGAAAAGTTTCAGAAGAATGGAGAGTTACGGAATAGGACTTTGTTCGATGTAGACTCGTGATGAATAACCCTGGGGGCTTCTACATGACTGGAATTCACATATACTTTTTATGACACACAAATCAGTGTTGACTTCTTTCCTGCTCCGTATCTCAAGAATCTGATGCTGGACCAATCCTGGAGCAACTATGGTAGTCCTTGTCCATCTCCCTGGGTCAAAACTGGATGTCTCAGAAAAAAGGGCGAAACAACTTCCTCAGACACTCCATGTATGGAATACTGTATGGAATATATGCCGCCCCATTGACCCCCCAAAACCACACCAATGTAGGCACATATGGCATGGAGTGTCTGGGTTCTGATGTGGTTCTGATGTCTTTCATGGAACCTTTCGAGCGTCCGCACTCGAAGTGTTGTGTTTTCCAGCTCAAGCATATCGGGGTTGGACGGACGTCTTTAGACAGGCTTGGACACCAAGAACAGCAACCAGGTTTCTTCCTGTACAAGGAACCTCCCAAAAGTTGTTTTTGTTGAAGATGTTGGAGCCTATTGGAGCCTCAATATGGTTCGTGACCTTCCACCGTCCGTCGTAAAAGATTTGGCCCAGGGGTACAGGGACCGAGGTTGGGGAGGTTGGGCACTTCACTGTCTCCTTGGCATAGTGGAGGAACTTGAAGTTCTCCACCACTGAGCCACCAAGCCTCGAAGCAGTGCTGGCCTTCATTTTTCCATGGTGATCTGGACCCATGGAACCCTGGGAGGTGCTGTCGCAATCTGGTGAGTTGGTAGTGGTGGGTAGTGCTTGGACGTAATTAATTTGTATTTGGTGGCGTCCTCCAAGCATGTTCGCTGATTAAGTTGGTCAAGAACTCTGCACAATGGATAGATGTTCTTGGAAAACCATACAATGTCTGCTCTGCTCTGTCCGGCTTTTTGTGCTTGGCGAGAGGTGTACAAATCAATTGCAGCGAGCTCCTTGCGGCACTTGCGTTTGATAGCCAGAAACCAATGTGTTTGTGGTTCTCTTGACCTACAATGACCCCAACTTCGCTCCAAAAACAACTTCTCATATCTTCTCATGAGGTCCAACGGTCTCTACCCCATCCACCCGACGGTTCGACCGACCCGACGCCGATGGCCGGACGGGACCCGGGTGCCCCGAACGGTGCTTTCAGAACCAAGGCCCGTTCGAAGCCCTGGCGGAGTGGGAGTCGATGGGGCGAATCCACTGGCGCGAGGAGTGAAAACGGTGCGCCGGTGGGAGCGAAAAAGGCTGAATATGGTCAGCTCTTGGCAGGTGGACCTGGGATCAATCATTTTCTTGGGGTTCTAGGTTCAATTAGTTCTTGAGGTGCAATGGCTGGTGGTACAATCAATGGCCAAAAACATGGCAGCCTTGATGCTTGAAGCATCGTGTCAAGAACTCCAAGGTCGCTCAGACTTGGATTTGCTGCGGGGGCCTGCCTGGGCTCTTATAAGTAATTACAGCAATTACATGAATCTTGCTGATGCCATCCGATACCAGGGCCTCTTTACAATAGGGCTCGAAAAGGGTCTTCTGACCTCCCCGGTGGTTCGGCATCTCCATCATGCACCCTTTGGATCCTAGTATATGATTAGGCGTGGTGTTGAAAGAATCGCATCGAGCCAGACCAGGTAGGTGCCGGGTGCCTATCAGTGAGTGTGAAGCAAAGCTTTTTGTTCCAAGTATTGCATAACCCGCACAAAGAACTTAACTTTTCACCCAATCCCCAAAAGGCCAACAATTCTAGTTGCAAGCGCACATGTTCTACCACAAGAATTTGTGATGCCTTTTCCAACCTCCAGACAACATGTAAAGGAACCCTACCCGAAGGCTATAGGCATATAAAATGCCCAAACAAACGAGACTAGGCGAGACAAATGGGCGGCTTTGAGCAAAAGTCGGGCTTCCGGACCGCAGGGGTGGCGCGCCAGTTCAGGGTGTAGGGATAAGTTCCCAACTCCGGGCTCTTCAACATCACCTGTGGCGGGGCGGCGGTCGCGTGACCGGTGCGTGCCCTGTATTTTCGGGGCATTCTGATCAGAAAAGGAAGAGCGGAAGAGCAGGCTGTCTCCTCCATCTGAATTCCAACTATCTCCTAATTTGGAGGTAGTATGAGGTACAATACTTGTATATAAGTGAGGTTGAACAGCTAAATAAACAATTGAACACAGTTGAACAATCTTGAAAAACGAAATGCATCTGCACCTTGTCAGCTAGTCTGCCTCGCCACTTGGATACCCAGTGCGCATTCTGTCAAAATAGTTCAACCTCATTAGCAGCAGGATGGGTCCAGAATCTTGCACATCTCCGTTCTCGGGGTATCATATACCGAAATATAAATCTTTTGTTTGCCAAAGGGCCAAAGGGTTTATTTCATTTTGTAGCACATTGACGATGTCTTTCCTCAAAAACGGCCTCTGATACAGAGTTTCCAACCTCCATAATTGTATTTCCAACCTTGAAGAGGCTCGACATGAACTTCAAAGAGTCTCACATGAACTTCACATGCTTCACATTGACCAAACATTGATTTCAGCATCAAAACACCAACCGGTCTGGTCTTCCCTTCCAACCGGTCTGGTCTTCCCTTCCAACCGGTCTGGTCTTCCCTTCCAACCGGTCTGGTCTTCCCTTCCAACCGGTCTGGTCTTCCCTTCGTTGTCTCGAAGCGCCTCGGCGTCTCCTTCACCTTCCTCCAGGGGCCTGGGCTCTTTCCAGTTTGACAATTACCCAAACAATCCATGGCTGTCATAAAAACCCAATCCCAGGGCTGTGACTGGTGCAGTGATGAGAACACTTGTAGCTAGTGGATACTCATGGTCAACAATGAGCGACCAAGAAAAAGAAAGCAAGATCCAGGACTGATGAGATTTGGCTGGATGAGCTCACAACCTTGCGGGTGCCCTGCCTATAAATGATCTCCATGGTCTTTTCGCTGCGGGGCGGCACCTCATGCGAGCGCGGATCGTGATGACACGGGGTCACACTCCATGTAGATCTATCGATGAATCAAACTCCCCATATTGAGAGCTTTTATATAAAATTGTTTGTTTGTCCTGTTCACCAAGGGTCACCAAGCGGGTCAAGCGTCTACTTTATTGATCCTACCCTGTAGCCTGCAACCTCAAAGTTCTATGAACGAGTGGTGTCGGATTCGGGGATTTGATTGTATTCTGTATTCCTCTCAATAACTCACATGTTGCGCGGGATTGGTCTTGCGAGGTTGGTTGCATGTCTGCATGTAAGCAATGTTTGCACCTGTGTTTGCACCTGTGCTTGCACCTGCTTCGTTCACATCACAACTCCTTGGAAGGCCATCTGATGTGAGATTAGAGTGTTTGGAATCACCTTTCGACACCAAGCAGGATGCTGGCAGTTCGGAGTCCTTTGGTAGCTAACCTGACGACGGCACTCCCTGCAGACCCAAATACTCCAGGCTTGTTCTGCTCGATTTGAGCATGGCATGCCGAAAACCGATCATGGCAACCGGGCACTAGAAGCAGCAGCCAAAGAACCTCGTTTTACAGATTCACTTCTACAGCTAGCAGATTTTGCTCAGAGCCACCTCCAGCAGTCGCACCGTATTCCACCGTCCTGTTTCCGATGGATCAAAGCTGCTATCAGAACCAAGCAAAAAAAAAAACACGGACGATCCACCTTCAACACCTACTCTTCCAGCTTCCCCTTGCTGGTCATCTCCGATCTCTGCCACTGTGCCATGGTTCCCACCTCCAGAGTCTCAGGGCTGAAGCGGAAGAAGGGCAAGGAGGCAGAGCCTGTGAACCTGACGGCGAACGAGACGGTGTCCTTGGTAACTAAACCCTGACCTTCCAAGACCATTTGAGGAAAGCTAGTCCCAAAATCTCCAGAAAAACATCGTTGCTGCATGTTTCTTGCAGATAAACATCCATGAAATTGGTGCTGGTAGTCAAGCTTATTCAACTACTTTGCTTGCGTTAAAGTCATGCGCCCAAATGGACAAAAAATAACAACAAAGGAGGCGACGAAAGCGACTTGCGAAGCAGGCTATATCAATGACTCAATAGCGCAGAGCGACGATAGGCCAAGAGGAACCAAAAAAGTGAAGGAGGCACAAAAACAACGAAAGAGGTCTACCCCCATTTTGTTGGCCAGCACAAGGAGAGGAACTCTGGCAGGCTAACACAGACAGATCTAAATGACGAAGGTGCGTGGGCTAGACTAGGAACGTTCAAAGCGAGCAAGAGTCACCAAACAACACCGTCCCATGCAGCACACCGTCCCATGCAACACGAAAGGGGTGGCTCTCCATGAGCCAAAGCCACTTACAGAATAGACAGTTGTGGCAACCGGCAGGAGTAGGCAGGAGAAGACATCCACAGGCCCACCGCAGGAACGAAACGCCACCAGGAGATGGATGTGAGTCAGTTGCACGAGAGTCAGTTGAGTCGGTCAATCTGCTGAACACAAAAGCTCTGAGTAAACTTGCAGGCTTCTATCAGAGTTGGTCACTTGCTCAATCGCAGGGTACGCCCCCACGAAGTTGCATCTCGGCGTCAAGCTGTTCGAAGTGGGTAGTGCGGGCTCTATATATTGTGCACCAATTCCATGCACGGACTCACACTGGCAACGATGGTCCGGAGGCATCAACTGTGCTCGACATCCCCGAACCAGTGGAACCTCTGCGGAACGTGACCGCGTGACCACCTGTGCCCACATCATTTCCGATCCACACACGGCATGTCGAGTAGGTTCCAGAGAGCACCGCGGATTCCCGTTCGTCAACATGCCTGGTATAGATTTGTTGGGCAAACACAGTGTTGCCCCTGTAGCGGATTTTTCATGAAACACTCCATCTGCATCTAGACCACAGGTGCCAGTGCCACTGATAGCCCAGCGTGCATGGATCCGGTGGAAATCACTGACGAAGTTGAAGCGCTTTGTCGTCCGCGCGTTGTAAGTCCAGCGGCTGCTCCCTGCTCACCTAAGAGAGACGGACCAAACGCTTTCAATTCTACATATAGACACAATCATAAATGATATAATTGGAGTTGTATATATATATATATAATTCCTTTAGGCTAAATAATTAGATAAAGCTTAATATGTTTATAGCACTTTATAGCATAATATTATAGTGACGGACAGACACTTAGAACATGAAAACATTTCAAAGTGTTTCGGAGACACTTAGAACATCAAAAGAAAGCCACACTTAGAACAGGAATACTTAGAACATTGTATATGTCTCTGAACATTTACATTATAATGCCCTAAGGTCTGCTGCAAGAATGTATTTTGCTTGCTGCTTCCAACAAAGATTAAACTCGAGCATCACACAACGCACCTTTTCTTCTTTCTTCAACTAATCCTAGGTATCTTCCGGAAGTAAGCCTGCAAGAGTGTTGAAATGCCCCACCCTTTTGGTGAGTATGAGGCTGTCGCACACACACTTCTCGAGCAGCAATGTTCTAAGTGTGGAGTTCCCTCCTGCAGTTGTACATTGATGTTTATAGCTACATCTCCTGCACGTGTGTCGTTTGTATATATATATACATATACATACCGTCTCAAGACTACCCCGGCCAGCGCTTCTGAAGAACAAAACAACACACGACTGTTGATCAAAGAGCAAGGTTCTGAGGGCATTGGGATGTTCTAAGTGTGGGTTGCAACCTTGTAAAGACATCAGGCCAACTATCTCTCCAGAATTGGCCCGAAGTGCGCCATTGCTCAGATTTAGATTTGGCCACAAACCTGCTCGTGAGCTCATGAAAGAACATTCCCAGCCACTGTATTCTGTACTGCTCTCGGGCTGTCCGCAAAGCATGGTGGACTTCTACAACCAGATGTTCTAAGTGTGGCGATCACCAGCACACTGCCAGCCAATCTGTGACGTTCTGCATGTCATACTGCATACCGTGCTCAACCAGAAAAGAAGAAGTGTATATATAACTTAACGCGCAGGATCATTGATCCACCGCTCTGCAAGACTTTGCGAAAGCCCATGGCAAAGCACCGGACTTGCCTATCTCTGACAGGCGCACCCCAATCCGGAAGCCACACTGGCCAAGCGGCTGAAAGAGAAGAGTATAAATATATCGCGCATTGCAAAGCCAGTGGAATGGAAACATCCGTGGGAGTGTATGAAGGCAGAGTATAGACCCGTTGGTTGACCAACATACTATTTATATAACCATACTTGAGTTCAAGGGGGGTGTTCTAAGTGTC